GATTCTTGCATGACCTCATAGTCACTATTCGAAAAGCTAATATAACAATCATATTTAATTATTTTTTCTTTAACAAACAAAGATTATTGATTATGAACGTTGTTTTTTTTCATTATTTTTTCGGTCAATACACACAAAGCAAAAAGTACAAAGAAAAAGATTTTCTTTTTCCTATTAAGATTATTCCAAAAAAACAAACTCAAGTAAATATTTGATTAATCAAGGAAAAAATATTTCCAATTTTTTTTAAGATCATACATATTAAATGTACCATGTAGCTGACAAATGTCAAGGCTAGAAACTGTAAGCTTGTTTAATTGTCAAAATTGATAGATGATGACATCTGCATAAAAAAAAAAACGAGATGGATCAAAATGCCTTGTTAGTACATGCATCTAGTCTGTTCATTCATCCAACATACGTATATGATAGTAGCTACAAACGTTTATCTATCAGCTTGTTTACTGATGACAGAATTCATGTGTATGCGCTTTCTAGCTTAAGACTGATTATGCAAAGTAAATACATGCATGTATAACCTTGACTAGAAAGAGACTCTATATCATGCTATGTTAACTAATTATACACGAATAAAAAAACTTACATATTATTATTATTATTATTATTGATATTTAATTGTTGTTCATTAGAAAGTAATGAAAGTAAATAATCACGTTCAGCTTGTATTGTTTTTAATTGAGCTTGAAGTTTATTTAGTTCATCTTGTTGTTTTTTAATAATACTATCTTTTTCTTCAATTAATGTACGCGTACCACCTGGTGGTGGACAATCAATGCGTTGTCGTAAATATTGTTCCATTATTAAATAATAATTATTTCATTCTAAAAAAAGAAAAAAGGTTCATTTCATTTTTCTCTAAGAAGATTTTTTTTATATTCTTTTTTCTTTTCTTTAACAATATGAAATGTTTAAAACTAGTAAGTAACCATCGTCATTGAACTTTTCTTCTTCTGCTCATAACCATGTGAATGTTACTCTTCCTAAAACGGTGAGAAATCAAACACAGAAGCACACAGACATATACAAAAAAAGAAAATGTTGAGAGAGACGTCGACGATGATGACAAATGTTCATTGTTCATCACTTCTTCCGTTCTTTGAGTAAAAAAAAAAGAAAAAGGCATGAGAGGAGAAAAAGAAAAAAAATAAAGGACATGAACGAGAAAAGAAAAGACGAATGCAACGACTTTTTATTATCTTCTTCACTACTGTTGTTGATAGGAGACAGTGACGACTCTAACAACGGAAAACGTGATACCATTGTAAAAAAAAAAAGAAAAAAGAAGAATGACGCCAATGATACGGGAATGAGATGAACACATACAAAAAGAAAAAGAAGAAATTTAATAATATTTCAAACAATTGAGAAATAAACGAAGTAATATGGTATAAAATATAAGAACAATCATGACATTTTCGAACTAATTATGAAAGCTATAAACGAATCGTTGTTACCCGTTATTTGAGAGAAAAAAAATGTCTCATAATCGCCTCTGTTACTTTCTATTCGTATAATTAAATTGGTCGCAGACGACGTTGTTAACATATAGGCACTTCATATCGTTCTCGTCTCAATGAGTGGTTCTTTAACTTCCGCCATGTTTTTTAGACTATGTCGGTTTCGTTTGAACACAAGGTCAAGTTTGAATTAAAAACGGATATGTCGATCTTATGACGAACTGAGATAAGATAAGATAGAGAGAGGGGGAAAATTACGGCGGCGTTAATTGGATTACGAATAAACTTACACACATCCAGATCTCATGAGACTCAATGGTCACAATCTCGGATAGCCGCCTTCCGAAGAGAAGGAGAAAATGAACGAAAGAAAAAGACAAGTAAGGAAATGTTCACAGTTCAAATTTAATTGAAATCAACATAGTACAATTAGTCTATGAAGCGAAATCAATATTCCTTCTCATCTATAAGAATGTATAAGAGTACATATGTACAAAAAAAAAAGTGCAGGATCAATTATATTGATTATCACAAGGAAAGAGAGAGTAGAGCAGTTTTTATGTGTCGCTCGTTGGCATTAGCCATTTATTCACTTGATTTGATTGCATCTGCCGATTTTTTTTATCTCATTAGTTAAGATCTCTACATCGTATATTAATGCCGCATTCAAAAGATGATCTATTGAATACTATTATTATAATCAATATGCACATTTCCCTTCCGACATGGTTTCTTTGAATGGTTAAGTAGTGAATACTATACTAATAGACAGACATATGCTTGAATATCATCAAGAAAATGAATATAAAAAAAAGAAAAGAAAAGAAATAAACAAATAATAAGCCTTGACCGAATAAGGATATGGAGAGAATAAGATGAGAAGCCGAAAGACATCAACTTGTCTTTAAAGAGCACAAAAAGAAAAGAGGTGCAAAAAAATATCCATATGGCTTCAGGAAGAAATCTTATAACATGATATGTACATAAATAATCGCGTATGTTCTTTCTCTCGAAATTGTCATCATTATTACTTCACTGCGTTCTTCGACATTATTATTATCAACATACGTAATAAGATAGATGCACAATCTAGTCATTCGTCTCAATAATCATATTAGAAAATCGAGAATAAAAGAAAAAGGAAATATGAAATTATTTGATAAATGTGAATAGAAATAAGAAAAGAATCCTTTCTTTTTCTTCTTCTTCTTCTTCTTTTGGTTTTGTTTCATCTTACCTTTATATTTCTACAATAGATAATGTAAGATTATTTATAGCCAAAGGAAATGAACAATGACCAAGGAGGAGTGAGAAGAGAAGAAGAAAAAAACAATCCGATGAAAGCTAGTGGAAATCATCGTAATAATCGAGGATAACAATCATATAGCAATCGTTGTCGTCATTTTTCTCAGAGATAAAGGATGAAAAAGACGAAGAAAGAATAATAATAACAGTGATATATACAAACGTCTTCCGCGTCTGTATTGTGTAATGAAAAATAGGAGCTATTTTCAATGTATTAGGGCAGTCAGCTACCCAGCTAGTGTTCATTTATACATATATGCGCATACAGTTCTTCTCATCCATTTACTATTTGTTTTGCTGCTATATGCTTTTATTACTCCTGCTGCTGTTGCCGTCTTTTTCTCGTCGTCATCGTTGTCGTTGTCGTTCTCCCTAATTTCTCGTGGCACTGACAATAATGATGAAGCAGAACGTACAAGAATTGAACTATACATGACTCTACTGTCGTGGCACGCGTTCATTGTCCGAACATGTCAAAAAAAAAGTAATGGAAAGAAAAAGAAGGAGAAAGACAGACAAAGAGAGAAAGAGAGAGCAAAAGACAGTTGATTTTTTTTTGTCTTTTACTGTACTCGAACGAACTGTATGTGAACAGATGTTTAACGATCTTTCTTTTATTTTCTTCTTATACGAACAAAAAAAGAATGAAACAAACGGACAGTCAAGAGGGTTGTTGCTGGTTAGAACTGTAGTCGATGTTCACATTGATGACAAGTTAACTATCGAGTGATTGTCAACAAGGAGAAAAACAATTGAATGAGTGATATATGAGAAAAATATGAAAGATAAAACTATATAGTGATCATCATCTTACTATTAAAACAGAATAGAATAAAAACTGGATCAATTATACAACAATAAAAAAAAAAGGACTAAGAACAATCATCTTGTAACATTGAACGACAATAAGAGTTTGAATAATTGCGTCAGACAATGCAAGAACATTAACGTAAAAATAAGAAGAAACATAAGAACATGTGAGAATTAGTTCATTGATTTTCCCAAGAGAATGGATAATCACTGTTCTAACCATCAATGAGTAAAACAAGGTCTATCCATTTCCTCTACATATTCTCATGAGATCAACATGGACGACAAATTATCTACAGTTTTCCTATTTTTCATTTATCTTGAATAGTTCTAAACTACATCATCCATCGTTTAGTTACATGATGTTGATCATAAGTACGATAATAAATATAAATAAAACATAGCTATATAAATCTTTTTTCTTTATGGAGAAAAAAAGACAAATATCTCATGCTAGATAATAGACGATAATTTTAAAAATGGATTATATAACAGATTAACATCAGCTTATATGCATGAATAAAAATTTTGATGAGGTTTCTTTTTGGTTTTAATTATTTAAAAAAAAAATACTACGTATCATATATAGAAAAATTATGATTATTTGTTATTCAAATAACTTTTATGAAGTAATATTAAACTTTTTTCCCTTGAATTGAAGAACTAGGTGAAAGTTCATTTTATTTAATTAATAATTATAAATATTAAAAAGTTCGAAGTCTTTTTTTTCTCTTTGTTTTATACTTGATACCCTTGAGCGTTCTTTTTCAATGTTATTCTTTTCCTTTGATTGATGTTTGAAAAGCTTTGTTATATTTAACCGACAGCAACTAATTGTTCAGCAGGATAAATCTGAATAACTAAATTTCTACTTTCTCTTTTGATAAATGAAATATCAATTGATTTCATCATATATTATTCATGATTTTCAAATTGTTTAAATAAAATTTTTCGATTATTTTTTTTGTTATAAATTATAACTATTATATATTAGACACACTAGAATTTAAGATGCCGAGTTTAGTATCTATTCCATTAGAATTCATTGCTTTGAATAAGTTTCCTAAATTTTGAAATTCTTATTTATGTTGTCGACACATCTGCGATAACAACTAAACAATATCCGACCTTCATTGAGTATGTCTCAACGACGAATCTTTTGCTCTAAGCTAATATATAATCCATACCATCTTCTGTCAACTTAGCTCATGTCATGTCATCATTAGTTACCTTGTCAATCTCATATAGACAGAAAACAAGAAAAGATAAATAATATAAAATGGAATAAAAAAGTTTTCTTTTTATGTATCAAAAAAATACTAAATCAAGTTAATGGAATCATTAAAACGCATTGCATTGAAAAAAAAAGATTCATATTGTAAATAAGAAAATCCTTTTTGGAAATTATTAACATAGTAATTCAATATTTCCATTGTCAGAACCGAAAAGTAAAAGACGATTTTCTGGAAATAATGCCATTGATGAAAGTGTACCTTTAATATTTTCAGATTGAAGACGTGTACATTGACAATCCATCTTTTAATTTATGAGAAAAAAAAAAAACATTTACAAATTAAACATAATAAAAAAAAACAGATTTACCTGTGCTACTCCTTTCATATTGGAATAAATACATAATTTATTTGTTTGTGTAGCAACAATAAATTCTCCATTACGTGTTGTTAATACGAATGGAGCAGGATCAGTATGTGCTTTAAAATAAGAAAGATTTCGAAATTTTTTTATAATTAAAATAAAATATATTACATTTTAATAATGCTGGTGTTGCTTGTGCTAATTCTTTTGTATTCCAAAGATATATTGAACCATCACCTGAACTCGTAAAAAATCGACTACGACTATAAAAATTTGCCTGAAAAGAAAAAAAGAAACGATCAAAGAATTATTTGAATAAAAAAAAAAAATTTTGATTAATTACTTTCAAAACTTCTCCTTCGGGTACTTTCAATGTTCCTAGAATACCACCTGAACGAACATCAAATACTGACACAGTACCCGTTGTAAATCCAATAACAGCTGAATGTGCATTTGGACTAATAGCAAGTGTTTTTACTTGACCTTAATATTGAAAAAAATTTTTTTTTTTGTAGATTTTATGATAATATAAAAATTTTCTCACCACCTGCCCCCAATGTTGTTTTCCATTCATAAGCAAAAGCTTTCGTTCGAACATCAACAAATCTAAACGAGACAAAGGAAAAAAGAAATCATTTTTAAAATGATTTCGACTTGAAGAATCTTCAAAACCTGATACATGAATGACAAAAAACAAAGTCAATAAAAATCTACACTGAAAGTCGTAGAGATGAAGCTTGTATATTTTGATAATAGTATGTTGTATGTCATATAGGAAGCTTATCTTATAACTTGCCTTGTTCAAATATAATTTATCATCATCTAACTTCCGATAATAGAAAACCATGTGTTTAATGCTAATATCAACATAATCGGTTTTTAATACATAATTCTCAGTCACCGACAAATGCCGTCTTTGATAAAAAAAAAAAAAAAGAAGGAGACTGTATACAATTCGAAGGAGAAGATTGTTTCCTATAGAAGTATCGGTTTAGAATAAGCGTTAGTATTAATATTAAGCTTAATACTTTGATATTAGTTGCATTAGAATTATTTATTGCCATGTTGTTAGTATTAAATTAGCATTATTTTTAATTCTAATGCATAGATTATTGATGACTAGATCTCCAATACTCTAAGCTCAAACGTTACCAAAACCAAACAATCTTGTTCTGTTTTTGAAATAGTAATTTCGGATATTAAAAAAAAAAACTATTCTATTATTGAAAACTTTCGAACAGCAAACTATCAGAAGTAAAGTTGCAGATAGTATATATATGAGTTTAAAATAATTCTAATACTAATGCTAATTTGACACTTCAATTGTGTATTTCAGCATTAAATGGATACTGACATTTTCTTTGAATAACTTTTGATCGGCTAATGTTATCGAGCTCTAAGGCGTCCATCTGTATAATACGCATTAAGATCAAGGACGTTTTTCATGGGTGTTGGTACATTGACATGTTTTTCATTTTCTATTTCATGATAAATTAATCTCAAATTAACCACATTGTACTTCGAATTGCGCTGTATACATAATAAAACTTCCACATCTGTATGTTCCCTTTTCGATCTTTTTCTTTGGCAACATTATTCTACATTGTGATAATTTTATCGCATATACAAGAATATCTCAGACTACCATTTGGTATGTTTTAAGGTTAATATATCATGAAATAGAGAATGAAAAACATGTCTATTTATCAACATCCAAGAAAAACGTCTCTGACCTTAATAAGTATTATACAGATAGACGCCTCAGAACTCGATTACATTAGCCGATAAAAAGTTATTTGAAAAATTTCTCCGTCCATTTAACTCTGACTGAAATGGATAATATTTACCTGTTGTCTTCTAAAACATTTCGTTTTAAATACAATTTTATTATTGAAAAATTATATTATTAATTATCTATTATCGATAATTTACACACCTGACTGTTCCATCACTAGTTGCAGCTAAAATATTTGTACTAGGCGCTGGCATAGCAGCCATCGCAGCAAATGCTGAAGTTTCTTTTGATTGTGAATAACGATAAATAAATTGACCACGAAATGGATCTACGATCTATTGATAATTTAAAAACTTTCAATTATTAATAATATGATAAAACGAAATCATTTACATGAACAGAACCATCACATGTTGCTGCTAATCGAAGACTATCAAGAAATGAAATAGCAAAAACTGATTTACGATAACCAGTATATGACCATCGACTTTCAACTCTAGACAAAGAAAAAAAGAATTTCAAATCAATTATCAAATAATTCTTCGAAAAAACTAACTTTGTTGCATTATCACTTTGATTTTCAACTTTCCAAACTAATAATTTTTGATCTCGACCACCACTAATAAATGTTGATTCATCATCAAGTACACATAAACTACGAACAGCATTCGTATGACCTTAATTTACATACGATTATATTTATTTTCTTTAAATAAATATTGAATTTTGAATTACCAACAAATGATTGTAAATGTATTTGTTTAAAACTTAATATTGTATTTTCACTACGACCTATTTCATGTTCCCAATATGAAAGCCAATTTTTACGTAAAAATCTACTTTCATCTGCATATTGACTAAAAATAAAAAATAATATAAAAATTTCATAAGAAAAAAGAAAAACAACAATTTTTACTATCGAATATCACGATCACGAATTGATATAAGAACATCACTTGCCGATATTGAATCATTTCGAGACATAACTAAAAATATTTATTTCAATACAAAAAATAAAAGCCCGAAAATTTTGATAGAAAAAAAAAAATCTGTACCATCTGGTTTCGATGTTAAATCAGCTATCCAAGCATAAATTGTATCATTTCTTGTTACTAATGAATTCATATGTTGACTAAAGAAAATATTTGAACAAAAAGAAAATATTTTTGAAAAAAAAGAAAAGAAGAGAAAATTATTTACTCGCCACATAAACGACAAAATTGAACAAATGCCGTACATGCTAATTCACAAGTAAATGTTGCATCGATTTCTTGTTGTATTGATTCACGTGTATGAATATTTGTTGTTGTTGATGATGATGAACTATCATCTAAAGTATTAATAAAAATATTTTATTATTATTATTTTAGAATGATCTCGATTTGAATTTACCTTCCACATATGGTGCAGTTAATAAACTATGACTAGTACTTCGTGCTTGTTTATTACTTTGACTACGTGGTTTAGCAGGTGAATCAATTTTATATGAATTTGTTATACTATCAATAGTTATTCGACAATATTCATCACCATCCATACTACTTGCATTTGTATTATGACTGGATAAAGATGTTGGAGAATTCGGACGATTTACTGAAGAATCTATGATTAGATAATTAATAAAGAGAAAAAATGTTTGCTTTTTTTCTTTCAATAATTTTACTAATAATTGAATTTGTTCGTGGATGTGTATCATCTAGCGGTTCATGTGTTGATTGAAAACAAGCAAAAAATGCTCGAATTGAATCATTCATATACAAACGTGTACTTTCATAACCCAAACGTAGACTAAGTAAAAACAATATATCGAGTACTAAAATAAAGAAAAGAAAACCAAATATATATATATTGATCTAAGATAAAAAAAATTTCTTAAGATTAACAATGAAATAGTACGCATGTTAATGAGAATAGGCGGTCATTCATAAAGAACTTTCCTGTAGAAATCGAATTTTTTAACTTCACCTTCCACCTGTCGGATTTTGGTCGGTGTTTTATCCAGATTTCATCTTCTCAAGGGACAATTTAAAACTTCGGAAGGACTGACGTCGTCTTCAGAAGGGCGTCGCTAGAGCCCACCGGATTCAAAATTTTCGAATCCAGACTCGATTATCGGAAAATTTTTAGGCGTGTACTCGATCGAATCCGTGTCCGAAACCAAGATGATCAATTCTAAACTCCTTCCTTTCAGCTTTTAAGTTGAATAAAGCAAGAATGTTTCGGCGAAAAACACCTGAGAAGAAAACTCTTGTCCATATTTTTTCGTCCGATATATTTGCGTGGATCTGAATTATCTCATGTTCATTTAATGAAGTTTAGCCATTTCAAACATTAGTTTAGAAAAAACTTCTGTTTTCCCAAAACCACATATTTAAATTAAAAGTTTTCTTCGATGATCGATATCAGACGATGTGCAGATTCAAAATATGGACCGAAACACACTTGCCAGATGATTTAGTATTGTTAAAAATTTATTTTCTTATCGATACTAATGTTTCTAGGTTAATTTTTGAATTCCAATTGCTTCATTCTACTTAAAATTCGAAGACAAAAAATTTTTACGTCATTAGATAGAGTATATCTCGAAGTATATTTATCACTATTTGAATTGATGACAGAGTGAGTTTTTTCTCATCTTGTATCCGACTGGATATACACTGTGCTTCCGCCCATTTTTCCGGACGCTTTTTATGGATGATACCTTGTCGAAAATGTTAATTCTATTGTATTGTCTAACTTGAAAAATAATAAAGAACTTTGTTCAATTATGAACGATTCAGATGGAAATCTATGTAAATATCATTGACTATCAAAAGATTGAAACTTACCACGATAAGCACATATTGAACGAGCTCGTTCAAATGATGGAAAATGTACAGAACTTGATGAAAGTAAAGTAAGACTTGAATGAATCGTCCGATTTTTAATCGGATCCTAAGAAAACAAAAAACGAGCATGAATAAATAAATATTATTGATTGTCAAAAAAAGATTCATATTTACTGTTAACTGAGCCATTAATGTACTATCACTCATATACGGAAGAATACATTTCAAAAGAACAATACAACTAAGTAAAGCTGATTCACTTCGAATTGTTAATCGATGATTTGCTATTCGAATCTATACAATAAAATGTTTTATTTTATTGTATTGAGAAATTGAAACAAAAAAATAAAAAAATAAATCGAACCGTTTCAGTTAGATGTGGAAAATAGACAAGAAGAATAATTTGTTCACCATAATTTTGAATAAGTGATAAAAGACAATCAATAATTTTCTTTGCATTTAAATCACCACGTACAGGACGAATAGTTTTAAATGGATTTTTATCTGATGATAATAATTGTAATTGTTCATCATCAACATAACATAATGCAAGCATACGAAGTAAATGTCGACCAAAATATTTACAACCAAGTACAGGACCTAATTTTAATTGTAAATAAATAATACTTTCAACAGCTGAATCTGATAATAAATTTGAACTATGTGGTTCTTCAATTGACTAATAAAAAAAGAATAAAACGAGAGATAATAAAAATTAATTTTGAGATACTTCGCTCTCCCCCCACCCCCCCATTTTCGGATGTGAAAGTCAAATTTTTTCAATCTTTTGTTTTTCACTGATGCTCAGTATTCTCTTCGCTGAAATTCGGCGGTGTGACTATCGGTGATATTCTGAGATGATAACGACATCCAATATATAAATGTTTCGAAACAAGAATGTAAGAAATGACCACCGAAACGGAACTCCCGATCATAGATTATCGAAAGGCATTCGACGATCTTTCTTTTTTTGTAATATGCGTTTAGGCAATGAGATACAAAACCTTTATTAATATAGAGTCTATATTTTGAAGTGTCATCTATGGATCTATAAAATAAAAGTATCTTTTGACAGCATTTTGACTTGAAAAAGAACAATTTTCGAGATTCTCGTAAAAAAATTCAATTTTATTTTTGTCTTTGATCTATTTGTAGTTATCTCATTTTTAGCGTATGATCATGTTAGAATCGCATGTTGAGATCCGTAAAGACAATGTACGACTTCATTTTGTGATAGCTAATTGAGTTTACTCAACATATGATCAATATGACACAATTGAGAGTTTTCAACGTCAGACTTACTTTTATAGTAGTATAGGTTGTTTTTTTATTATCCTAGTTGCTCGTTGAGGAGTCAATATCTTCGGAATGTTTTGCTCTCAATTTTTAATCCTTTTCGCTAGTATAGTTCATTTATTTTCTTTTTTCCGTTAGTAATAAAATAGAGAAGGATAGTCAACAAGAGGTATGTTTATTATTCATGCGTATCTCATTACAGGTATCTCGTAGACATAAAGAATGTACTTTCTGAACTTAAAAAAATCAGTTTATCAAATGCGCACTAGTAAAACGTCTTAAATAGAAAGGAAAAAAGATAGGTATCCAGGAGAAAATTGAAATTCAATTTTTGTTTTGCATTTCTTTGCAGAATCAAATTTTATACGAAAAAAAAGTACCGTTTCACCCCCATTTCTTCAACATCATAACAGGGATGAAAGTGAATTTTTTTGCACATATACTAGCTATTATTTGTTATGGATATTTATTTTTTTAATTTCAAACACTATTGCTCCAGTGATTTTTGGCAGCTTTGCCAAACATTTTTTAGAGTACGTCCAGTATTTTGACTTTTAGTTTTTTTTGTCGATAAGACAAGAATATATAATGAAACTCAACAACAGAACCTATCCCAAATAGTGTTCAATATCTGTCAAAACAATTTTCAACCCTGTTGCACCATTCTCCAGAAATCCGGGACAAAGGAGGAGCGATACCCTTAAGAAATTTATCTTGTTTTTTTTTTTTACTTCAAAAATATTTGTATCATAATCTTGTGGTATAATTGTATCCGATCGTTCATTAGTATTATCATCTGTTTCAATATTTGAATCACTTGAATTATTATTATTATTATCATCTTCTATTTCAATTTTAAGATTAATTTCATCTTTAAAACCTGCACATGCTTCAACAAGTAATATTGGAAAACATTGTAAAAATTTTGCTAAATTAAAACGTGCAATTAATTGAATTATAAAACGACGTGTAAAACAACGCCAATGATAAATAGTTGTTTTGTCTGGATCTAATGCTGATTGTATTAATGTAAATAATTGTCTTCGAGATTCATCGGGACCAAGAACAACTGCTACAGGATTAAATAAAAAATAAATACAACGAATACCATATATTGGTTGACGAAAACCATGAAGAATATAAGGCATTAATAATTCATGACCTTGTTGAGTATGTAATGATACGAGTAATGATGGAATTTGTGTTAATAAAAGATAAAACTTATTATCATGTATTTGTTTTTGTTGTGCTGATGTTAAATCAAGAAGAAGTTGTTGATCAAATTGTTCAAATTGATGAATAAATCGATAAAGTTCTTCGAAATAAAATGGAAATGGAAAAGGCCTAAACGAAAAAAAAAAATAAAAGAAAGTATTGCATTATGTCAGATTTTATTTTTCTTTTCAAAGAAAACTACTCGACCTGATGTCAAAGATATTTTTTTGCCAATCCAAGCAGATTTTGTCAGAGATTACTCCTCGTTTTTAGTGACTATATACGAGCTCTTTCCAAAATGAAAAGCATAAGATAGTAAGTTTCTATTTCCAGAAAATTCAAATAAATTGAACATAAGGAAAACTTCATGAAAATTTAATTCAGTGCTTTGAGCGATAAATGCAAAAAATTGATTTTAATATAAAAAAATACAGAAATGGAGTGTTTATCAGAACTTTATCTTGATCTGATCCTTTTATATAACATCAGATTAGACTAACAGCGCAGGTCAAAATTTTTGGCCTATGTGCGACGTAATATTATTTTCCCTAATATAAATGGAAACATACGATGGCGATAAAAACTCATAATAATATTGTGAAGGTATGGGCATGGGTCATCTCTTCACTGATAGTTACCGACAGTCAACTTACTCGAACGATATATTATAATAAAGTTATAGAACTCCAAAAATTTTAAAAAATAGAAACATGAGTTAGACGGGTCTACCATGCAGGTCAAAACAAAAAAGGTCATCTGTACAATAGGTCTGGTGTATACCTTTGTGATTGAGTAACTTGAATATAAACATTGATGACTAGTGTGTGAGTGAAGGTAAGACTCTTATCTTAACCTAAACACATCCTCAAAGGATGCAATTCCTATTAACTAATGTCGGCGCCACAAGTAGATGGAGAAAACTCAAGGAGGAATATCTCCTGAACGGATGTAGCTAGCGACCTGCGGTTTTCACCATTAGAAAGAAAACGCCCAGGGGCATCCACACATGGTAAAATATAATTGGTCAGCAATGGACCAATGAGATGCATTCTCGATGGAAATGTTGAGCACGGTATTCTGGAGCTGTTTCTCAACTTTGCTCGATTGTTAATTTACGTTTTGATAGAAAAAATTGTTCTCTTTCGATCTACGAAAAGCCCGCCTTTCTAGCTTGTTCCGTTCAAGAGTTATAAGAGTTTTCCTGAGACCCTTGATTTCAGCCAATTGACCTTGGATCACCTTGGAAACAGTCTGGGATGGGGTAATTCATCATGCTGAGTCGAATGGTGATATTTGTTTTTGGATTCGAAATCAGCTTACAATGCTTTTTACAGATTTTTTAAATTTCATAGGA